AGAGAGAGAGAGAATTTTTAATATTTATTTTCTAGTTCTCGGCGGACACAACATCTTTGTTGGTATGTGGTGCTGAGGATCGAACCCGGGCCGCACTCATGTCAGGCAAGCGTGCTACCACTTGAGCCACATCCCCAGCCCCCATAGTTTAATTTTCAACATCTTAAACTGCTTCAGTACAATGCTACTGTAGTTGGCCCCATGAAGCTAGCTCATTTCTAACCACTTTATAGGAATATAGAGTTCGTAAATTACTAGGTGTACGTCTGTAGGGAATACCCTGAGTGATTTAAAAATMTCTAAATGCATGTTTAAATCCATATACAATATAATCCATTATGATGTCCTATGACTTCATGTGATTATTTCCATAGCTGCTAATGTTACCAAAACTGTTACACTTCAGATAACAAAAGTCAGCCTTCACTTACCAACTCTGTCCAGTTGCTTTCAAAATATTAACTTTTGCTAATTTCAGTGAAGCAAGTACATTTTGCATGCACTGGTAAACTACTTAAATGGTGGTTGGGTGGGTGGGGACTCATAGGGAAAGACTTCACCTGTACAAAGATAATTAAATCAGTTATATTATGATTCTAAAAATTCACTTATGAATGGATTGCTATCATATTATAATATCTTTACATTATATAAAGGTGGCTTAATTGTGTGTGTGTGTGTGTGTGTATGTGATACTGGGGATTGAACCCAGGGGCACTCTATCACTGAGCTACATCCCCTATCCTTTTTATTTTTTATTTTGAGACAGGGTCTTACTAAGTTGCTGAGGCTGACTTTGAACTTGCCATCCTCCTGCCTCAGCTTCTTGAGTTGCTAGGATTACTGGTATGTACCACCTCACCAGGCAAGAGTAGCTTAATTTTTCATAGCTATCGGAGATCTAAATTACTAATCTATTTCAGTTTCAAAAACTCAAACTTTTTATCTTTTGCAATGAAAAAAAATTAAATCATATGGAGAAAGAACTGAATTGTACAAATGTTTGAGATTTGAAGCTAAAATTTTACTGTGAGGTACAGTTTTGCAAATTGTCATTTGGAGTTTTTCAAAAATATTATGTCAGCCTGAATCATTTCTGAAATGTTATATTATCTAAATCATGAAACATACAAGCAATACTCTAAAACTCCCTCGTGACACAAAATATCATCATCATGCTTAGAGACGTCAAAGCAAAATCCATTCACTTGGCATCAAGGACCCAATGAACAATGCAGTTCTGTTTTCCTATTTAAAACAAAAGTCTTTGTTGTCAAATTTGAGATTCCTGCTGATTGGAGCATTTCTCTGCAGCTTTTGCCTGATGGTGAAAATGAGGCTGCTTGGTCCCCTGGCGGGGCCTGGCTGGGACAGGCTTGCAATGTGTGGGGTGTTGGCAGATTTTCACTTGCTGGCATTTGTGCTTCCAGGGTCCCCGGCAGTGGAGTAGCAGTCTGGGTTTGCCTCACCCAGGAGAAGCCATTTTTAAATTCCCCTTCCTCCCTTTCACTGCGAGCCTGCTCCTACTCTGCTGACTATAATCCTGTCATCCCTTAAGCTCCTGCTTTCCACTAAAGTGATGGCTACCCGTGACCTCCATCCTGTCATCTTGACAAGAGCTATCTAGTGATCTGGATCCTTAATTCTGGTTAGTGACTACAGTTAGTAGATATGGGAATTTCTGGTGCTTTCAGAGCACTGAAATATATTTGGAAATAGGCACCACCCTTTGGTTGCTCCTTGAGTAATGGCCTCTGTATAATTGCCTTTTGCACCTTTACCGAGAACCTACCCTCGATGGCAGGCTTATTTTTTTCTTTCTACATCTTATCCTCTGGATGCCAGTTACAGTCATATGAGAGAGTGATGGCGGCTGAGCTGTCATAATGTTTCTGTAGCAATTTAAGATAGTATCAGAGATTATATATGAGGGAGCAGAGACAAACGTTTCCCTCCTTCTAGCATTTTGTGTGTTTATGTGATTTAAGCCAGAGGGGGATGGGGAAAAAGAGAGCGGTGTGTGGGGGGGAAGGTTTGGGTCCACCATCCTATCTTCTTCTACCACCACAATTGCAAGCACTTCCATTTGTGACCCCATTCTTCCATTTGTAGTTGTCAGTGTTTTCTGGCCAAAGACCACTGTAAACATACCTGGAGTTGGAAGGAGTCAGGCTTGTTGCTTGTTGCAACTARAGGAACACACACCCCAAGAGCCACAAGGGTGTCTCAATGCAAAGGTGTCCGGAATGACTTCTTGTAGGATTTGGGGTTGTGTTCATTGACCTGGGAGACGTTTCCAGGAGGCAAACATGCTGTAGATTAAAGACTGTCAGGATGTGGGGGTAATTCTATGATTAGGTACCATCGTAAAGCTCATCTAGAAGAATCGAGGAAAGAAATAAGGCTAAAATTTTAATTGGGCAAAAAAAAAAATTGTTGGTCATTCCTGTCATCCAGAAGAGGGAGCGTGTGGTGTTTTTGTGGTTGGCACAGAGGCCTTGCTTTTGTCTGTGCCTGCACAAGGTCATGAAGTGGAATTGATTTCTTACCCCYGTTTCATTGTCCAGTGACCTTGTCTGATGTAAGTGTCCTGAGAGGTTGCTTAGGTTTGACAGGATACCACCAAGCTGGGCTCCGCCAGCTTCTTACATCGTAAGGCCTTTCCAATAACTCTGGGCCAGCTCCTGGCTTGCAGGGACTGCTTTTCTCTTTATCAATGTTAATTGTTAAACATGATCAAAAAAAATAAGGGGACCACCTGCTTTGTAGGAAGAGAAGAATGTGGATCTTGGAGTCAGCTGAGTTTCTGTTTATTCCTCTCCTCGCCAGCTGGAAACTATCTCGGGTAACTGTTTATCCTCCCTGAGCCTCATTTTCTCCAGATTTAAAATGAGGATAAAAGTCGCAAAGATTCAGTGAAAGTGTTCCGTACCTGTTATGAATAATAGCTCAATAAAATTATCATCATCATTATCATTATTTTGTTACTATACCAACAACAGGCTCTCTACCCCCACTCAGAAGGTGTGAGTGAAGGTGACAGTAAATAGAATTAGTGTTTAGTTACATAATATCATAATGATGAAAAAAACTATAAATCCTAAGATTCCTCCTTCTCCTTSCCCCCATTCCCAGTAGTGTGACCCTTAAAAGGGCTCACTTTTCATCTGCTCTTGAAGTGGAAAGGATTCGTATACTTACAAAGAAAAATAGAGTCTGATTAAAAATTATGTAGAATTAGTTGCAATAAGTTAAAGAGACCCTTCATGATTTAATTCGCATAATAAATCCCACTGACAGGTAATAAGTCTCCTCTACAGGTAAATGATGTCTATTACAAATGATGCTGGAGGACAGTTTTCTGAAGTTTCTTCCACAACCATAGCGCAAGTTCCTACCCTGCCAGCTGATCAGAGGGAAGCATTTAACTGTGTAAAATTACTGAGTGGCTTGTCACGGTTTCTTTTTGTTCTAACTTGGCTGCTGCATTAGCAAGGTTAGTCAGAAGGCCTCCCAAAGCCTTTGATTAATTCTGTTGTGTGCCTTAGCAGCAATTGCCCAGAGCCCCTCAATACAAAGTGCATATTTCCTATACCAGCCCTGGGTCCCTGAAATACTTGTTACTGATTCATGACAAGACAAATATAAAAATTGAAATTAAGCTTTTAGAAACAGTTATGACAAGAATAGATGCCTGCAACATTGAAGCACGTGGTTCGCAGGTTTGCATTTCATGCCATTAAGATTTTTTTCATGATTCATTTTCATCACATTTCATAAAAGTATCAATCTGGAGTAGATTGGAAAATAAAATTTACATCACCACAGGTAGTTTGAGAAGTACTATCCAAGGCCAAGGGGGAAGGTGTGACTTGAAATAACAGAAGTAGAGTCAGGTGCACAGGGCTTTGGAAACAAGATGGAGGCACTCTGGGGACAGAGGTGGGGACASAGATGGAGGTGTCTGTACATTGGGGCAAAGTGGGTACACAGGATTTTCACTCTATGTGCACCCTCCCACGGGAAGCATTGAATGACAAGTCAGGAATGTTTGACTTATTTGAGTCCGAACTTGTATCCTCAAGGATTATATAACTCTATTCAGTGTCTATTTAGAGTCCACTCTTAGGAAATGTGTCTAAAAGTACCTAACCTACATTCTCCACATCAGCTTTCAAGTCTTTGCCAGCATCTTTCATAAACCAAACCAGAGTTGGATCTTGAAATTTTTTTTCTTTGTCTTCCTGGATGTGATGTGGGGCTTCTGTATCCCAGCTAGAATGTGAATTAGATTCAACACATCCAGGGCAGAAAAGTGTATTCAATTAAGGGGACTTGGATGCATTTTCAGTCTGAAAGCCTGTGGTAGAAACCAGCTAAGTGGAATAAAAGAAATTGCATATAATATCAGAAAAGAGGTCCATGTGATACCAGAAAGGAAATTGCATATAATATTAGAAAAACAGCTCTTTGGGTTTAAGAGAGTGCTTATGTTTTTGTTTAGTGATTTGATCTGCATAATTATGCCGAGTTAAGTATTCAGTGGGTGTAAACTTGACTGGTAAATCCACAATAGAGATGCTTAGCTCTGAGCCTCTGCTCAGAACTCAACCACAGAGCTCCTTGTGTGTAGTTCCCTGTWAGGGGGAGGGCTGTGCCATCCTGTGGAGACATGTCAGTGGGAGTGCCTCTCCTGAGGACTGGAGATTGTTTTTGGAAGCAATAAGAAAACCTTGACTTTTGATTATAGCAACATATAAAAATTAATATAATTAGAATTGTGTATGTGTGTGCATAGATGTGCACACACATATTTATATACATATATAGAGAGTTAATCTCATTGTTTGTGATAGTTCTGTTCTATAAAGTTTCCATGAATGCTGATTTAGGGAATATTGAACCAGTACTCTGAGGGGAAATACAGGCTTTAGTTCCTGTGAATCTCTGGTCATAAAATTTCTCTGAAGCAATCAATGTATAACCTTCCTGAATGTGTGTTTCTGTTTAGAGACACCCTATTTAGTGTGCAGTGTGTTGTTGATCTGTTAACAGTGAACTCACCGTCAACAACATCCTAACTCATGCCTGAATGAAGCTTATCTAGCATGCATATTTTCTCCAAAAGACTCATCACAGCCTGCTCTACACTGAGGAATACCAAGGCCCTGTGCCTGAGGGCCAATACAAACAGCAAAACCCACCAATACATTTATAAAACTTCCAAGATTTACAGTACGAGAGCTAAACCAATAGGGCAGAGGGTTTTCTTGTTGGACCTCAGGGGGAACATGTCCATAGGATAACTTAAATTCTTTGCTTCTCATATAGTTTGCAAAAACTCTACCATATATCATAAAAGTGGCTTCCATAAAAGTACAAAAAAATAGGCAAAACATTTTATTGGGTCAGATGTAGAAACATGTATACTCTTCCTAAACTCCTCCCCGCAGGGGTGAATCACATGGACGGAAGTCGAAAATCAGTCGATGGCAAATAATGGAGAGACTAACTTTTCGGGGTGTCTGCTGCTGGGAGTTGTGTTCCTGTCATGGAGGCCCTAAGAAAGGGCGATGACCTCACACACTTCACACGTGAAGGATGCTATCTCGTTGCTCAGCACCCTTTCCCCTCCTCCTTTTCTCCCCTTTTTATGACTATGATATTATTATTTAGCTTTTCCACACTTCTCTTTTCTGCAGTTTAGTTCCTTAGGGTTAACTATGGTCTGCTAATATGAAATGGAAAATTCCAGAAATAAATAATTYATAGCTTTTAAATAACTTTGAGTATATTGCTATAGTTATTGTATCTTATGGTTAGTTACTTTGTTAATCTCTTCGTGTGTTTAATTCATAAATTTAGCTTCATCACAGGTATGTATGTTTAGGAAAAAAACAAAATTTCCATAGAGTTTCAGGCATCCACTGGGGGACTTTATTTTAACCAATTAAAAATTGGTTAAAACCAATTAAGAAGTTACTGGTTCTTCATTCTTCTTTCTTTGAAATAGAAAGGGGACTACAGTGATGTAAATACTGCAGTGGCTACAGTGCTGCGGTGTGCATCCTTGTTGAAAACCAGCCTCCTGTAGTGCTTCTGTTAAGTCATCTCTTTCACCTGTGTTCCCCTCCCCCAGGTGCTGGATTGAACGATGGACAGTGGCATTCCATCTCCTTATCTGCTAAAAGGACTCACCTGAGTGTGGTGGTGGATGGCCACGTGACCACTGCTTCTCCTTTGCTTGGGCCTGAGCAGATTTATTCAGGAGGCACCTATTATTTTGGAGGTAAGAAAAAGGGTGAGTCCTTCTGGGCGGTTGGGCTGTATTTGTATTTCTGACTCTTGTGTCTTGCCGAAGCCTTCATGCTTTAACCAACGTTCACACTGAGGAATAATTTCTCACTTTCTTTAGAATGAGTGGATCAAGATGACAAATTATAATCTGAAGTACGSGGCTACAAAGTGGACTTACTGCTGTTTACAATTTCTATGATGAGATTTATTTGAAGTAGGCCACCGTCTTCGGTTCTTACCTTCATAGCTTGTTATATTTTCCTAATGTTAAATGGCCCTTCTATGTTTTCTTCTGGCTTTATGGGTTGATTTTATTGCAGTGTTTTCCTGATCATGTACCTCTTAGCGCCTCTAAGCATCCTTATTGCTTTCCCACTGCCCAATGTAGAAGGGCAATATGATGCCAATGGACAAATGATTTCAATTAATTAGCCATAGCAACCTCTTCTCCTTGCTAAGTAATAGTGCACTGATACATTTGTTGAAATTGGGACCTTGGCCTTCAACACCAGGCCATCTTCTGTAGAGGACAAGAACACGTAAAGTGTTTACCTGCCCCATGGATGTTTGAATTAAAACCTTGGAAAAAGAAACTGGAGAARTGTAAATGAATTTTTATTACTGGGAAATTAGAAAAATGTTCTTTGCCATCAGAAATGCAGTTTTAAAACTGTTAGTGGCTAAAACTTTGGTCTAATTATGACTGACAAGGGGTGTTTCTTATATTATCATTRTTTTGGTATTTTTACCTTTCATTGGAATAGTTGCTTCTGTTGGACTCATTTTTTAATTTGGGGGAAGTAGCTGAGGTTTCATTATTCACCACTGAAATACAAATTATTTTGTAAGAATTGACAATGAGTAYATAACCCGTGAATCAAGTCATCAGAACTTAAAAGCAAATAAAAGAACAAACATTTAAAAACCTGWACACAATCCACAAAGGCAGCATTGGACCACAATCTTAAAAGATGCAATTGTCTCCTTTACTAAGATTTGTTCATTTCTGAACCAGATTATTTCAGAATGTATGATTGATTTAATGGCAATCCATAGGAACATATTCTTTTAATCGATAGTGAGATGTATAGAACAACTCAAATAAGAGCTTTCATTCCAAAGGAAAAGATTTACAAGTACTAAAAGAGATAAGAAGAAAGACATATTGTTAAATGATACAAAATAAAAAATAGAAGATGGGATAAAATGTTTATAAATCATGAAAATAGAATCATCATTCTTAAAGAAGTTTATATCCCTCRTGTTCAGATTTAGCAATATTTAGCCCATTTTGTTTACAAGTTTTTTTTCTCTAGTGGCGGCTTTTATTCATACGGTAATATTTTATAGTGAAATATATCACATGCACTTTGTAATTTTTCTTTTTACTATGATTCATGTTGTACAGTGTTATATTTAAAAAATATTTTGGATAGTTTTATCAAAGAGTTGCAAAGACCTACAGAGGATTCCTGGATATCCCACATTCAGTTTCTTCGATCACGTATGCCTTTTAAGGAATTCTAGTAGCATTTTGAAGTATGCATCTTCACATGCATACCTCTGCTTAAGAAAGAGTAGATCATTCATAATGTCTGTCCCTCTAGGAGCTTATCTTTTGATCTCCCCAAGAAAGTACTCTTCTGAATTTGGAATATGTTTCCAAATTCATGTTCATTATAATTTCACATCTATTAAGATGTTCTTAAAAGATATACTGTGGAAACTTCCACTGTAAAATCCCAACTCCAACCCTTTTGAACATGCCCTGAAAAATCCAGGCTACCCTAGAATTTCCAGGGCTTGTGCTTCAGAGCCTGGTTAAGAAGGTCCATTCTCCTGAAAGTCCGTTTAATGTTTTGGGGGCCAGAAACCCTGAATTCTGGGACATTGAGAGGAGAGGGTTCCAAGTGGACACACCACCTTTCGCTGGGAGGCCGCCAGGACCATAAGCAAAGTCATGCTTTTAAGAAGGCAGGGCAGCATTCCCTAAACTGCAGGACCAGCACAGAGACCCTGATTGTGTGGGTGGTACTGGCCATGAGGTGACCAACTTTTCCACATTTTAGCTGAAAGTCCTGTGTCCTTCCCTGAAGTCCTGGGCAAACTGTGTCAGTCAGTTGCTATAGAAAACCTTTTGCTTTTTGTGGTCAAGAGTCCCTCTCACTGCCAGGGTCTGTTTTATCTAAAGGTGCAAAGTGGTTTTTAGGTAGGTGGTTCTTCGGCCAGTTGATCTTCAAGAAGAAAGAAAAAAAAGCCATGCTGGCAGACACTTCCCATCAATTCATCAATCCTTCTTCTCCCTGAATTCAGCTGCACATTTCCAGCTGTCTTATCAGAATGCAGTCAGTCTAACCTGGCTGTGGTGCCTGCTGCAAAGGGTCAGGTTGTTCCAGCAGACTGGGCTCGATCTCTGTTCTCTGCCAGTCTCAAGAGTGACTGTCACATTGGGAAAGAGGACTGAYTGCCCCTGAGTCAGCAGCACTCTAGGTGGGCCACACAAAACTTTCACCATTCCTCCATGACTCYGTACTCTTTGACTTTTTTCCCCTCCAACGTGTGCTCTTCAGAAAGTCAGACTGCATTGCGGTGCCCTGTGCTCAACTTTTATTATTTATAAATTACTAATTTTAAATCTGGGTTCTCCAGATGGAGGACGGATGGGTGTCTCGTTTCTGTGAATTCCCCTATGGAATCTTTGTGCTGTGCATAACATACCACGCAACTCAAGCTGGGGATGCTGAAACTGTGAATTCTCACATTCCTCCTCCCTTATATAAGGAAACCGTTCTCCGTCCAATGACCAGGTGACACTGCCATGAAGTCGAATTCGACATCTCACTTCTGGTACAGTGGTATCCAGCGATAATTCATCTGTCATCCTCAGAGGTGTTTAACATGCTGACTGCCTCTGGTAATGGATCCATCCATTAATTCAGCATTAAGTGTTCTCCAGAAATCTTCCTATTTTAGAACTTCCATCCCAAGTGGGCTCAGTGCAGAACATTATATTAACTCATGCCTGCCTCTTAGAGCTACTGAGACTAACTGGTTGAGCCCTTCTTTGTTCTAAGAATTGCTTGCTTATCGAACATGGTAACTGGGAAAATGAAGTGCCCCATGGTCTGACCTTGTGCTGCTTCATGGTTTCATGACCTTTCCTTGTGAATCTGAGTTTGCTTAGTTTTGTTTCCTATGGGCATGTGGCACAATTTATTTTATTCTGAAATAGTTTGAGAGGTGTCAGGAAAYACCACCTGGGGAAAAGGAGATTAGCAGAGCTGTTTATATTTCTGACATAGGATAGTTGCCACCAAATATTATAGAACCATTATCCTTTCAGTTTTTTATCCTGACATTTTTAATTGGTKAATAATTCACCTAGAAAGCATATCAAGACTATGGTAACCCCATCCTATAGTATAGAGGATTTTTAAGTACTAGAAATGTGTTTATTACCATGTAGAATAAATTAATACTTCAATAACTTTGATTACATGTTTCTGATATATTAAATTTGAAACTTCAAAGTCTCCACTGGGTTAAAATAGAATATTTCAATATGGCCTGCTAATAGCATTAAATGATAATACTGGCCTTTGTAAATATATTTTGTTGGAAAAACAAAGCATTAAGAGAAATATCCTCAGTCAAACATTTCATTTTAATGGACATTCCCAGGTAGAGATCTATCACAGATTATATAGGAATTAAGAAGGTACTCGTTCTTCATTCCTCTTTCTTTGAAATTGTAATAGTGGTTGACAGCCATAATAGCAAAGAAAGATTCATTATATATATATATATATATATATATATGCATAATATTATTTATTTCACTTCATCATATTATTTATTTCACCATAAAATTATTTATTTCACTTGGGTAAACATTTAGAACATCATTAAACTCAGACAATAATCATTCATTTAAATTTCTTTATTATTTCCATAATTAGAACAAACTTAAATCTTAGAAAAAATCAGTATAAGGGGAACAGTTTCTTTTTTTTCTTTTTTTTTGGGGGGGGGACAGTTTCTTATGAGGCCAAGAATAAATAAAATCAAACAGTATTTTTGATATTGAACAATWTGCATTTATTTAAATGTATGTTAATATGGCTCTTACACACATAGGAAAATAAAGTAGTTAATTAAATAAGTAGTTGGTACTTTTATTCCAGGTCAGAATATCTCCTTTTTCAGATAGTTAACTTTAAATAGAGAAACATTTCATCATTATCGACTTGTCTCTTTTTATCTACAGTACACATATTCATCCTTTATGCACTTAGTTTCTTAGTTTTGCAGTCTAAAAGACTAAGTTCCCATGTCGAAGTTATACATGATTTAATACTGCTGGCTGGCTTGCTTAGGATTCTGGAGCTAACATGTATATTTCTACAATTTGGATTGAGCTAGTATACTTGTTCATACTTATGATAGTGCTAGAGTCTTCCTGGGAATCCTCTGGACATCAAGAAAAAATTCTCTGTATAAGTCACAATTTATAATTCATGTCAAACTAACAATGACTGCAGTGAGTTTGCTTGCCTCCTTGGACTCAGAACATAGACAAATGTCTTTTATTTTATTATTTTTTTAAATTTACTATTCTATGATTCTGACTCTGGATTCATTACAGTGTGTGTTTCTTGGTTATACTCTGATTTGGTTTCATCAGGTTGTCCTGACAAAAGCTTTGGATCCAAATGTACAAGCCCCGTTGGTGGATTTCAAGGATGTATGAGACTTATTTCTATCAGCAACGAGATGGTGGATCTGATTTCAGTTCAGCAGGGATCCCTTGGGAACTTCAGTGACCTTCAGATAGACTCGTGTGGTATCTCAGATAGGTAAGAATGGTCTCCTTTACTGTGGCCTGTTTAAACTTATGGTAGCAGATTAAAATGTGTGTGTAAAATGAACATTTATTCTCTTCCTTTCATCTCTTCCACAGGAATTGGATTGTATTTACATTAGAAATCAGAAAAATAGAACTTTTGCGTTGTATGTCATATTTCAAATGATAAAATTTAGATATAAGACATGAGACTATGTTATTTCTATGTACATGTTACCAATTTACAAAAGATAATGTGGAGGCTGCTATCATTTTAGATGGATATAATCATATCAAAACTATGTCATTAAATTCAATAGTTTGGGGCATCTGGAAAGTAAAATGGATCATCAGGTACTAATAAATCAGAGACCTGTGTGGTTGATTGTCAAGCTGGCTTTTGCTACCCTGACAGTTGTGTATTTCAGAAGCGGGGAAACTCACTGGTGCCTGTGCTAATTTCCACCTTTCACGACCTGTTACCATCTTTTCTACAGGAACATGAGGAGGAACCCCTCCTCTAGAAATCTCAGGACCATGGTGCTTATCACAGTGCAAGGATGGCCCTGGAGGTTCACAGAAGCACCAGGGGGGGCAYGGCAAGGCAGGAGTTAATTATAGAAGACAAGCAACTTTTATAGGAATATTTAGCAACTAACAACAGTTAAAAACTGTGGTAGGCATGGGCAACCGTGGCATATGTGATCTTACTAGCCATGCTTTATAATCACAACTGTTAATTTCAGTTATTGAGTTCATTGGAATATCACACCCAGTACAGATTTGTAAAAGTTTGTAGACTTAACATAAATGGGCATTTAAATCATTCCTCGTAGAACCCTTAAAACCTATTTCTTTTTTTTAATATTTATTTTTTAGTTGTAGTTGGACACAACACCTTTATTTTATATATTTATTTTTATGTGGTGCTGAGGATTGAAYCCAGGGCCCCTCACATGCTAGGTGAGTGCTCTACTGCTGAGCCACAACCCARCCCCATTATAATCTACTTCTAATAGTATTTGTTTTGCGTAAATATAAAAATAGATGAGAGAGAAGTGGGCTAAGATGACATGGCTAAGAAAAGGCAGAGTCCAGCCCCAGAGCCAGCAGAGTGTGCCTGAAATGTTTGCCATGCAGCCTGTAGAGGCCATGTTAGCACTTATGGGGGTGCATATTTCATCCAAGCATAATAAACATTGAATGTTTTATCATTGAATGTTTTAATCCATTATAATAAAAAGCAAGCAGTAACATTACTAGCATATTAAAAATCTGACAGGAACTTAATGCAGTCCTTTCTTTTTTAATATGACTGACTTTAAGCAGGTTCAGACCTGCACATAAAGGAATGCAAACAAACAGGCATGCGCACACGTGTGTGCACATTCCCTGCACACAGATACACTAACATCAGCTTGCACGCAGTCTTTCTCACACATGCACACACTTATGTTCTCACTCACCTATCCAAAAGCTCCTCACACACTCACAGGTCATCATTACATGCATTTGTACAACTACTTGTGCACGCTCACACATGCACATTCACATACACCTATCRGTCCCACACTCACACACTTACAAGGTCATGAACACACTTATGCGTCTTTCACACATGGTCATTCAGATGCACTCTGTCATCTAGCAGCCCTCTCCTTGGTCTGTGGATCTCAGGAACATCATGGTAAGTCTGGGGATTCTGGGTGACCGAGTGGTGAGGACAAAAATGCCCGGGCAGCTGTTGCTCTGCTTCCCATTTCTGGGACAGACACCCAGATGGGGCTGGGACAGGGTTGACAAGTACTGGGGCATAAATGCTCACTAAGTCATTCACATGCGTTAAGTATGTCTTTTGGTATCAGCTTTCTAAGACAGCACCAGGTTGGGAAGGTTACCATCTCACCTGCCAGCACAGTCTGTGCCTCTCTGAGCCAAGAGAGGCGGAGGGTGTGGAGTGTGTCTGGGTCTCAAATGACACCCAGGCTGCAGAGACCTGAACGTTTCTGTGTGTCAGTGTTCACCGCCGTGACTTCACCGCCCAGCACCCTCCTCCTGGCTTTCCTAGCCTCAGCCCCTCGACCACCACCATGTTCCCCTTCCAGTTCACCTCCACTGCCCAGTCCTTGGGCTCTGGTCTTGAGCCTCCATTRTACTCTCTCCCTCCAGGCTGGAGTCTCTACCTATAGCCTCTACTTTCCCTCTCATCCCCACAGAACCCCCTAAGACTGGCTTCTTCCCCCTGCCTCAGCTCACATGTTCTTCGGGTGGGTTTAAAGATTAGGGTATCATTTTCTCTCCTGTAGTAYTGCAGGCGTGGCTATTTTGGGAGGTTGCATGGGGAGTAGGTGGGAAGGGGCAGTGGGGTTGTTAGTTCTTGTCAAATAGAGTTTTGAAGAAGATTATTAGAATGGAATTCTGTTGCTAGTCATTATTCTAATGTCTATAGATAACTGTTACTATTTAATGTCCTTAAATGGGATAACATTGTATAGATTTGACTTTGATATCCTTAGTCCCAGCCAAACTTTACAACAAATGAAAGTCCTTTGAAATTTAACTCGTAATGGATAGGGAATCCGTTTAAATCAAAATCTTTGCTGTCACTTCAGGTTTGGGTATGTTGATGTATGCACTCCTTGAATTCACAAGCAATGRAAGTAATGATGGAAATGTCCAGGAGAAAGATTTAGAAGTCTGAGAAAATGGGTTGATGGATTGTCTGACTTTGTATTTGAGTGCCTACTGAGAAGAAAAGTGTAAAACACAATTGTTTAGAACATTCACTGCGAATTGCCCTAGGTTACCGGCATGCAAACATTACCATATAATGAATTTAAATAAAATTCGCAATTTAGTCTTTCACATTGCATTGAAAAGTCTGGTCTGTCTAGCAAGAATCAAGAAAAGTGGATTCAGTCAGTTTTTTGTAAGCGGATCACATTGAAGTAGCATATATATTACGATAATTAAAGATACATTCTTTTGGATTTGAGGCAAAGCCACTTATATCTGTCCCTTTTTCAAACAAGATTTGTGGTCCATTAAAGTATGATCTGCTCTGTCTTTTTCTGATTTGATTACCAAGTAGGATTGTTACTGTTTTAATATTTTAAAGTCTCCTTCTTTTCCATTGATTTGAAATACTTAAAAATTAAATAAATTATGATACAGTCTTTGAATGTACTCCTGAAAATCTATAAAATGTTAAAATATATATAAAATTAATGGGCATGGGAATATATCCATTATTTATTTTTGGATCTTCAACAAACAGATTGTAAAATAGCATGACTTTACTCATGATTATATATATATTTTATATATGTTTATATTTGTAGAGGTAGTTTCTATATAGTAAAAGTGATTTTTCTCCTTATTGTTTCCTTTCTGTACATTGAACTTCTATTTTTTATCATCAGGAAACATCAATAACATGATGTTCAGTTAAAATTGCAAAAATCTTATAAGCAAAATATGAAACTCCCATCCTTAGTTTTTATAAAGGAAATGGCAAAAATCCCATATAAATATATTCTTGGCAGGTTTTATAGTTTCTTTATTTTTAAATTTAAAGTGTATGAGAACATTAAAAGTCTGGGTCTCAAAGTATCATTTATTCTCAATTCAAAAAGCCATCAATTATCTACCTGATCTGGGCTGTTTGAAGGGACCCCAAAAGTCCCCAAATTTCTTTCTTTTTTTAAAAAATTTTTTAATATTTATTTTTTTTTTTAGTTTTCGATGGACACAACATCTTTGTTTGTATGTGGTGCTGAGGATCGAACCGGGGCCACATGCATGCCAGGCGAGCGCGCTACCGCTTGAGCCACATCCCCAGCCCCCCAAATTTCTTTGTTCATAGTGTTTTACTTCTCTCAGTAATTTTTTACAATTTGTTTTAAAAATTTTTTGGTTCTAATTAGTTCCACATGACAGCAGAATGCATTTCAATACATTGTACCCAAATGGAGCACAACTTTCCATTTCTCTGGCTGCACACGATGTAGCACCACACCACATGAGCAGTCATACATGTACCTAGGGTAATGATGTTCATCTCCTTCCACCATCTTTCCTATTCCCATGTCCCCTTGACCCTCCCTCCCCTTTGCCTAGTCAAATTTCCTCCGTTCTTCTCATGCCCACCCCCCACTATGGATCAGCATCCACTTATCAGAGAGAACRTTCAGCCTTTGGTGTTTTGGAATTGGCTCACTTAGCATGATACTCTCCAACTCTATCCATTTACCTGTAAATGCCTTAATGTTATTCTCTTTTAAAGCTTAGTAATATTCCATTGTGTATATATACCACAGTTTCTTTATCCATTCATCTGTTGAAGAGCATCTAGGTTGGTTCCACAGTTTGACTATTGTGAATTGAGCTGTTATGAACATTGATGTGGCTGTAATTTTTTTTATATAATGCCTTTAAGTCAAAAGACATCCCCTGATACTTTATTTAAAAAGTGTTATAGGTCCAAACAACTTGATGGAGTTAGGCTGGCCTATTTGCTAAGTGGTGCTAATGGAAGTTGGTCTCCTGTAGAGACTGGGAAAAAACATTTTTAATGTTTGCATTTCAAAGGGATGACTCCCAGGTCTTCCAGTAAGACAGCCAGTCTTGGGTCTTAAAACTTGCAAGAGAACAGAAGTTTTCTATCTAAAAGGGTGAGGAGCCAGGCAAGGTGGCACACACTTGTAATCCTAGTTGTTGAGGAGGCTGAGGCAGGAGGGTCACAAATTCAAAGCCAACCCTAGCAACTTAGGATCTTGTCTCAAAATAAAAAGTACAAAGTGCTGGGGGTTCAGTCCCCACTACCAAAAAATAAGAAGGGAAAGGGGTAATTTACAATGGAAAGTTTTCTAAAATACATGMTGTAAGGAAATGGCTGTCAGTCAGAGATGTGCCATCAATAAGAAACCTATCTAACAGGCAAAACTGGGTCACAGGGTGGAATATTAAAGCCAACCTAGGGCTATCTGAGCTGATGACGTTAGTTCCCCCAACTCTTTCCTCCCTGGTGTCCCCTGTGTCTGTAATTTTTCTGTTTTCCTAACCTAATGCTTTGATTTAAAAGTGTTTTAGCTCTACATGACTTAATAAACATTTTTGTCCTAACAGCATAGTAACACTTTGAAAAAATGATACAAATCTAGAGAACTAATGGACAAAGGAGGGCTATAGGTAACAAAATCGTGCCATATGAGGGGTTCATGCTAAATGCGTAGATTTTTAGCTAMGTTTGCCACAAAGACAAAATGAATCAAACAACTTGGGTAGCTCAGTGAGATGAGGCAGGAACTAATTTGCTTCCCTATAATGACCTTTTTACTATCTTTATGTCTAATGTCATGTTGTTTACTTTAAATATACAGAATACAATTTATTTTAAAACAAAAAGTGATCCACATCTTTTGCAAAAAAAAATGATTTCATTCATCATAAAACACACTTATTTAGTAATTGGATTGTGGACCTGCACCATCTTTCTAAAGCTTGGAATCAGATCAAATGCTGCTATCTCCATTTTTTTTTTTGTTCCATGTAGATTTCACATGGTACTTGCCTTTTAAAATCAATTATTAAAATCCAGCTTCTCAAAGACAGGTCGTGATGAAAAGGAATGTATTATGGAGCTGAGCGACTTCAYGCTAGTAAGTCACACTGTGCTTGACAGACGTTGAGCGTGCCAGTTACTTCTCTTGAAATTTTAAAATAACCTGGGAGCCTCCTCTGAGTTCCATTCAGGGCCTCTGCACTGCTTGGAATCTGTGCATCTCTACTGCACATCCTTGGCCCCTCCTGGATCCCAGGCCAAGTGCACAGATGGTCTCCCTCCCACTTCCTTCTTTCCTCGCCTTTTCTTTATTCCTTCTTCCTGTAAATGTTCAATGTAGTAATTCAGTGTGACAAAATACTGTGTCACATAAGCTTTTGATATCCCCGAATATACATCGGACTCATATTGTGTCACTTAGGGAAAATAAAGGGCGCTGATGTAGTGAGACAAAGTGGAAGATTAAGCAGTCACAGTACCTGGGAATGGGGGGGAACTGGCTGAATTTAATGACCCAAGGTTTTAGTTCTGTGATTCAATTACCTTCACACCAGACTGAATCACCATCGGTCATGTCAACCTTACTCTTCCTGTGGGGGTCGACACCTCTCTTTCTCATGACCACGAGTATAAATGATCAAGACTTTATGATATCAAAAATGACAAATGGTGGTTGTTTCTTCACCTTCTCCTAGGTGTTTGCCCAACTACTGCGAGCACGGGGGYGCCTGTTCTCAGTCCTGGAGCGTCTTCCATTGTAACTGTACCAACACGGGTTACACGGGAGCCACCTGCCATACCTGTAAGCCGAGTTCACCTTCCCGATGTTGCCCCTGGGTGACGTCCCTCTCCATCTCCCTTTCATTGCTGTTTGTACGTGGGTCTCTGTGTGTGCAAGGTGGTCATGGAAGAGACAGTCCTGGCTTTGAGCACCCAGGGGTTTCTAGTTTATTTTAWATCTGCACCCCACTTCCTTAAGTAGTCAAGGTAGTTGGTAGAAATATCTAAAACAGGAGTGAGAAGGGGAAGATGGYGGCAAATGAAAACACGTACAGCAAACAAGATCCGAGGACAGAAAGCMAACTAAAATGCAGAGAGGGTGATCRCCTGGTACTTGATTCAGGCCAGTGTTCGACTCTACACTTAAGACACAGTACGAGTGGACACATGATCCGTTACCAGATTCTTACTGTTCACACTAATAAACAAGAAGATTCTCAGAAAACAGTAATGGATGGACTAGGGCAGTGTGGCTTCTGGCACAGGGATGCAGATCTCAAGTAGAAACCATCTGTCTTAGTGCATTGGGACATTTATAAGACAGTATCACAGTTTTGGTAGCTAGAAATCCAAGACCAAAGGGCCTCAGATTTGGTGTATGTGAGAGCTTGCTTCTTGACATCCTTTCCCTGTGTCCTCACATTTAGGAAGGATGAGGGATCTGCCTCATGAAGCCTCCACCCTGGTGACCCGGTCACCTTCCAAAGTCTTTACCACCAAATACCTACAATGGGGGATTATGTTTCAGCATACGTTTCTGGGGGAAGGGGGCCCCAAACTCCCAGTCTACAACACTAGGCAATACTTAAATATTTGTGCYTCCCTGTTTAATGAGGGTGATGAAGACAAATGGGGTAATTATTGTATGAATCACAGCAGTTACTGTAATTGAATACTTTCTAAATGCGCAGTATTGATCYTGTATTATATAAACCTTAGCTCATTTAATTCTGATTATCACCCTGATAGGTAGGAACTGGTATAACTCCTATAATAGAGATATTAATAAATTTGCCCAAAGCAGAGTGAGGATGGAGGTACCTGAACTCATGTTGTAGAGCTGGGATCACCAGCAATACCCTTTCCTTATGTTATAAACTCTATTTTTCTGATGCAATGCTTGCACATCTTGTAAGACCTGGGTGATTTTGTTGTCTGTTTGTTCAGTACATATAATAGGGTGACAAAAATGCCCATTCCTCCCGCCCCTTTTTTTGTATTATTATTGAGTTTATGAGCAACTTAACTCCTGTACTACCTTCTATAGTCTTGGCTCAAGGCAGGTGTTAGGTGCAGAGTTAGACCTTACCACGTCGGATCTACAACTACAACTCGGCACAATACTTTGTATTCCTGCCGGGGTACAGTTTGGAATCCTGGGCTCCCAGCCCTGGGCACTCTACAGAGGACCCTGAGGAGCCTTGATTTGGGGCTGGAAGGGTATGCTCAGCAGGACCTCCTGCACCTCCCGCCCCATGCAGCATGTCATTAAGGAGCCTCAGTCTTTTACATTTTATAAAGAGTGTTTCCTGGTGATAACAGCTTCAACTCACTTGTCACCAGAGGCAGGTTACTTGTGTCATGTCACCCATCTGGTGAAGGGGGAGTGCATTTTAAGGGACAGTGCATTTTTTAGATCTTTCACCAACCCCATTATAGTAACTAACTCAATCCTGAAAGCTATTAAATATATTTAAATTGACCATTCACTTTTAATTTCTATCAATGACTGAATATAATATAAACACAAATAGCTCAGAGGAATAAAATTAAATGATAAATAAAAAGGTATTTTCATCCAGGGCCCACAATTTGATTCAATAAATAATTTATTAGGCTTTTGAGTAGATTGCCCAAATGGAACTGAATTTTTTTTTTTTTTTTTTGTTGTTGTTGTTAATAACCATCCTGAGAGATAGGGGCAGATTGACAGACGTGGTTATAGTGGAGAGGCAGAGATGGAGACTTTTAAAAGGTATTATTAGGAAACAATACATTAAGCAGTCATGCTATAAAAAGTCAAGCAATGCATATAAAGCAAAAGTCCTTTAATTACCCTCATCCAATCATGTGTCTTTTCCAATGTGTGTCTCCATCCCAGAGTCATGCGTAAATCCTGCCAACTCCAATCTTGCAACATAAATGTTTTCTTCCAAAGCACTGATGAACATATTTATTTGCATATAGAAATTTTTAACCAGCCGGGTGCAGTGGCACAAGCTCCTAATACCAGCAACTCCACTCAAGAGGCTGAGGGAGGAGGATCACAAAGTTCAAAGCCAGCCTAGGCAATTTAGTGAGGGCCTAAGCAACTTAGCAAGATTCTGTCTCAAAATAAAAWCTAAAAAGGKCTGGGAATGTGGCTCAGAGAGCACTCTTGTTTCAATCCCTGGTATCAAATAATAACAATAATAATTGAAATACTTGACTATTTTTACGYACCCACGGCACAAAATGCATGCATAACTAACAATCCATGCTTATATTTCCATCTGTGGTAAGGACAAAAAGTCTCAGACTATATAGAAACAAGGAAGTACATTTCTATGATTATTTAAAAATTTTAAACATTAAACAAATCTGCTACAGTGTTTCATGTTGCCTAAGCCCTAATTAATATAATATTCAAAAACTTAAAATAGATTCAGGAAAGGATATCCGAGGGATTTTTTTTTATTTTAAGTTTCACAGGATAAAATGCTTAACAGCAGTTTTTGGTACACTTGGTCAAMCATTCAGTAAGAGGTATGTATCATATAGGAGCTAATATCAAAACTTGTACATGGCAAATATGTACTTGTAAAATAAAAAAAATTATGAATCAAACCACATTGAGACCACTTGGGGGCATATTTCACATAAATATTTCTTCTGCTTTGAATTTTAATTACCTTGAATTCTCACTGCAGAGCATTAGAGAAGTTTTCTTTAGTCGGTTAGTTTTAGAATTATTGATGAGGAACTTGGTGAATCATATCTATTCTGTGAAAAATTGTTTTTACCTATAGTGAATTTTATGTGAGGATGGAATAGAGTTTCAACATTATTTAATATGTATCTGCTGCATAACTATTGGGTGGCAGTAGATTATTAGGCAGTCCCTCTATTGTGCTTCAGAAGTGCAGGATGTCAAGATGATATTGGAATTATGAATTCCAAAATGGGTGGCATGTGATGTCACATTAAAGTTCTTAACACTTAAACACTTGCATCCTCTTTCCTTGTTCTTTCTAATATAAAAATCAGCTAAATTTTCATTTCCATGAAATACTCCCATTTTTGGCTTTTTTCCCTTTCTTACCACTTTCATCCATATTCATTTAAAAAGAATTAAAAAATGAACTGGGTTTTAAAGTGTAAATTTTACCTTTTCTCTTGGCAGTGTTGTGCATGTTACATTTCAATAATTTAAACAATTTCAATAATAATTGGAGAATTCTTTGCCCAAATTGAAGTTTCAGATATTCATTTCATACTATTTTATTTATGATGAGACTTTTTTTTCCCTACAGCTATCTACGAGCAGTCATGTGAAGCCTATAAACATAAAGGAAACACCTCAGGGTTTTACTACATAGATTCCGATGGAAGTGGTCCACTGGGCCCATCTCTTCTCTACTGCAATATGACCGGTGAGTTAACCAACTTTCCTGCAATAGTTAAATCTGCATTAATGCCTCAAATACACAAAATTAAAATAAGTAGAGACTTGATCTAACTTGCAGCTTAATTAAAATGTGTATTTAGTAAAATACACTGAGCATAAATATTTAAAAATCAGTTGAATGGTGATGACTTAAAATATTTTTGTTTTCTATGCATGTGGTCTTTTTTTAGAACATCTAATAATAAATGGTTCCAACTATCTCCCCAAATTAAAAAAAAATGGTAGAATTTAGCAGAGAAAATTGAAAAAAATATTTACTTTTTAAATGTATGTAAACATTGCATTTGTTTATATTCTAGAATTCTTAAATAAATTTACACAGAAATTATGTTTGGTTAAATTCAATATCCATTCATGATAAAAAATTTAATAAATAACCCATAGAAGAAAAATTCTTTAATTTGACAAAAAATGCCCACAAAGAACTTATGGAATTTGTAAGAGTTTATGGTGAAATATTTAAAACCCTTCCCTCTATCACCAACAGTAACACCACTCTACTCAATATATGTATTAGAGGTCTTAGCCAGTGCAATAAAACAAGAGAAAGAAATAAAACATTTGAGTATTGAAAAGGAAGGYCTATGATTCTCACTATTCAGAAATGCCTAGGTTATCTATGAAGCATATTCCAAACAACATACAGTAAAGGATTGCAATTCAGGAATATCACTGGATATAAAATTGATATCAAATTAAYTTTATTTCTGTCTACCAGCAAATGACCCTTTAGAAAATCATATTTTCAATAGCATCAAAAGTCTCAAAAACATAGTAAAAAATGTAATAAAAAATGTGCAGGGCTTCTATACAGATAAGTACCAAGCTCTTTAAATCAATTAAAATCCTAAATAAATGGAGGAGTGTAAAATTTTCATTCATTAGAAGACTAAACATTGTATGATATCACTGATGTTGATTTAGTACAAACCTAAATTGGAATTCCAGGAGGGTGCTTGTTTGTAGGTTGGTATAATTATTTTGATAAAAATGGGCAAGCACCTTCTACAATTTATAAGCACATACCAAAAGACAAGAAGAACCAGGAGAGTCTTGAAGAACAGATTTGAAGGACAGCTCTACCAGATACAGACGTTATGCTGACAGGCTAAGTAAAACAGTGTGTAGATGGCATCAAGATAAATATACTAATGAAACTAGATGCAGAGTCTGTAAACAGATCTACTTGGATGTGGATAATTGATTTTTAGCTAAGGCCATACTGATGTACAGTGAAGGAAAGATGGTCTTTTTTTACAAGTGGGATTGAGTGGAAATTATATATAAATATTAAAAAAAGAATAGAATAGAAATGGGACGTTTGTTGACCAGATAAGCGTGAAAGCTGAAACTGTGACAACATTGGCTTGTTTAGCGTCAGTCGGGAACCTGTGATTGGTGCTCTAAGTTTCACTGWCCTGTACCTGTCGGCAAATAACTGCAAAAGTGTTGGAGTTACAAATAACTTGAGCAAGTAGGCAAATTCACAGATAATGAGAATCTACATTAGTGCGTGTTGACTTCTATCATGTATCTTATGTCTATTATGGATAATAATTTAGTCATATGTACACTACTGAATTACTAAATTATATCTGCAAGGTGTTCAGAGCAGAGACACAGACATTCAGGGACAGCTACTGGTCTCTAGAAGCTCTGAAATATTAAAACTGTCAAATAGATGTGACAACCCCCAAATATGAAACCCCCAGAGAGGAGGATATGTCAAAACTCTCCTCATTTATCTGGTTTTGCAGATGAGCAAGACCCAGGAAGGGTCAGTGCAGCCAGTTGAAGACATGAGAAGGTCAAGAACTAATGCCTTGGTCCCTTTTCTCACAGAGCTTTTTCTTCTAGAAAGCACCACCTTCTATCATGTCCCATTGCTTGTATCCAAATCTGGCATAACAATTGTGAAACCGAGACAAAATGCTGAATCGGTAACTCGAAAATGTGTAACTTATAAAAAAAAATCTAGTTAGTTTAGGATTAGTGTCACACAAATGATTCCGCATGGATTAAAATAACTCTGCAAGCATTACAAACTAAACAATATAAACAAACAAACAAACCAATCTCTGTTTTGAATGGGCAATTTCCTTAACCAAGTTAAAGACTGAAATTTCCTCGTAAATAGAGTATTCTAAGTATGATTTGGAAATAATTAGTCAGGATGAGATGAATCTCAGTGGTTGTCCCTATTGAGATGTAGGGGACTGTTTTCTTCGACACTAAACTCATTGCTTTTTCTATAATGAAATAGTTTTATGTTCAAGAAGTTTCTCATTATTAAACATTGCATTGTAAGGAGCATTGTTTCAGGGGGGAGAAATTGATGAGAGCAGGAGTGGCAGCTTTCAAACTTCTGTGTAGATGGAAATTCTATGCATCACACTCACCACTTCCTACAGCACCATTACCACAAGATTCCTGGGTTTAGTTTCTCTGACTCAGTAACTTTCTAGGCTGAGGCCTGAGTCTCTGCATTATTAACAAACATCCCATGCAATTTTAGCATGAGACACATATTCTGTGTTGTATAAAAATAGCATCATTATTTTTACTTTGGAAATTTTGTTATTAGAGGCTTCTTACTGTCTAAGGAAGTTAATAACGAAATGACATTATTCAGTCGCAGCCTTGTTTATATCAAGGTTTGCTCCAGAACGCTAGGGGTTCTCACTCCTGTTTCCTTCAACAAAGCATTTTCCACCTGCTCTTCCGACCTTTATCACATCTATCACCCTCAGCTATTAAGCACCAAGCACCACAGCTTTGCAACTGTGTTGCTTAAATAGCATGTTTTTTTTTTTTGTTATCACACTAAAAAATAGTGGTCCGCCTAAGGTAAATCAAGTTCTTAATTACTCAGTAGCTTTATTTACAATGCATATTATTAGAAATCTCTTTAGGGAGAGACACTGATAAACCCAAATTACCATCCAGTTTTTTAAACTTCATAGATTTTTCTGCCTCTTTCAGCAGTCTCTTCTCATGCATTTCCCTGTGTCTCTTTGCCCTCCAACTCTTGTTGCATTTTGTAAAGGATCATTTTTGAGAAAGTGAAATCATGAATCTCATGCAGATGTAAAAGTAAATGTTAAAAAAAAMCGCATTCTAAAGATTTTGTTTAATACATTATTAATGTAAAATTGGTAAGCTGTTAAAACCAGTTCAAGGGAGAATTCAAAGAACAGAAGCATCGACACATCAGGAATATTGAAAGAAACGTGCTCCCGAGAACAGAGGAAACCCTGGCTTCCTGGGTAGGAGGGAAGGACGTCAGTAGACCTCCATCAGGTGCAAGTGGCAGGCTCTTGGCAAGAATCACTAATGATGTGTTGAAGGAGACTGATACCTGTCCTGGAGAACAGGAACGGGTCCTTGGTCCCAGGTGTTGATGATTAAACACCCGAGAAACTTGCCAAGGCAAGTGCAGAAAGCCAGTTTTACTTAAAGGAAAGTGACAGAAGCAGCAGACTTCTCCAAAGAGAAGGGGGCCCAGAGCCGGTTGTCTGTGGGAGTGGGTGTGTCTTGGTCTTTTATAAACCCCAGGACCCCACCCCGACCCCACACATATCTTGTCTTTTTCATGTCCATGCCTAAGGGTAGGAGCATGGAGGGTAATCATTAGCAACTTCTTGGGCTGGAAAGTGGGATCCCCAGGTTAGCTGTTAGCAACCCATTGTCTTGTCTTTAATATCCAGCCTTCATCCTCTGGACCCCCATTATTCATTACCTACACAGACTGCCCCCTGCCTCAGTTTGTTGAGAAATGTCACATATCCTGTCCCCTCAGGCCAGGTGGGGCTGTAGGCAGATTGCTTTTTGGCAAAGAAAGCATGCAGCCAGTCAGTACGGTGGGCTCATTCTACAGAACTATTCTCTTAACCTCCTGTTCCCACCATCCTCATCTCTCTATCCCCTTGCAAGACAATGCTTTTCTGTCTAAGCAAAAGCCAAACAAAATAAGGAAGTGAACAAAAATTTAAAAAGAATCCCAACAACTCAGGTTAAAGGCTGAGGAACTATAAATATGTCTGGGAAGTTAAAGAGCAAATTTCTCTAGAGAGGTTTCAAGRTGTGTCTCCTGCAGAGGCGCTTGCCCACTTTCCAAGAGTAATAAAACCTGAGAATTTGTCCCTCTGTCTTCAGAGATGTGTCCTGCTTAAGCTCCACTGGGCTCCTTCTACTGGTTTGGTGCCAGGATGCAGAGGGGGCAGCTGGAATGTACTGCTTTACCCTGGGAGAAAATGGCCTGAGGGGAATCCATGCTGCTAAGATTCCCTGTTAGTGAATATTCTCTGATACAAAGTCCCCTGTATGTGATAGGATAGGCAGGTAGGTGGATAGAGAGAGAGATAGATACAGTTGGATATCATCTGTAATGGAATCATTTATTAATTTGCAAGTAGAGTATCATCTTAGACCCTTGACAGTTTCAAACTTAACATGATTTTGTAATCCTATCAGTTATCTATAATTTATAGAGTTATAAAACAGCTCCAAGGCAGTGAAAATTTCACAGTTCCCATAGATCAGAATCCATAACCAGGGAGATGGCGCTCTCTCGACACTGAGTTGTTTTAGATTATTCCCTTGTTTATGCCCTCATTTCTCCAATATATGTCTTCTGCATGTTGTGCCAAGGTCCTGGGCTACACACAGGGGACACCATGGTGAGCAGCTCAGAAACTATTGTCAATCTCACATGGGGAGAGACGGTCAAAATATCACTGAAAAGCACATGACAGGTCGTGATGACCTCTGTGACATTTTCAGTTATTATTTCCAAACGGGTGTTTGTAGAAACCTCAGCTAATACAGCCTTGTCTGGAGGAACAGGGAAGAGGCTCTAGGTAGGGAATTTTCTGACGTTCCCCTGTTAATCTAGCACAGGGGATTTGGAGCCATTGCTCAAAATCAACTATGCTGATTTCATGGCATCAGAAAAGTTCTGGAAATCTAGATGGTATATGTCATCTGTTTAATTTGACACTTTGTAGTATTTTTAATTAGGTAATAAAATTGCATACAGAAACTTTCATAATGTTGAAGTATTTTAGGATTTCCAAAGAAAACATATTTGATTCTGCCCTTTATCCGTTGCCAGGCACCATGGCTATGAATCTCTTAAACACTGTAAAAAAAAAAAAAAAACCYGCTAGAATCACATGTTAATTGTGATCCAGTAGTTGCTAAACTGGATACAGGTCCCTCTCAGTGTGATCCCAAAGGCACAGAGACAAAGGCTTCAAGCAGGTTTGTTGTCTTGCTCTTTTGGCAGCTGCTCAGCCAGAGTTAAGCTTCCCAATGCACACCACAGATTGACCACAAGGAAAGGCACATAATTCTGTTGAACAATACAGGCAGAGCCCAGCAGAGGCCAGACTGACAGATTTGCCTTGGCTAATAACAACTTTCAACTTCCAACAGCCATGGTTGAGTTGGCTAAAATTAGAGGATTTCCAATATACGCTATTGTCTAGTTTTGCCAATTGATTTACCAGATTTGGAAGTGGAGGCTTAGCTTTCACTTGACTTCCCAAAGGGCACAGATTCATGCCAGGTCAACAGTCAYATCTCCTGATGGCCTCTGCATTGTACTGCTGGCTGCCCATAATCAGTTTTATTAGCTTATAGATCATGTTCTCTTTGAGAAAAGCACCCCACTGATAAAGCTGTAGGGTGAGCTGAGAGGCGAGGGGGAAATGAAAGTCTCAGCTATTGTTTTGTGGATCCACACGTGGAAGGCAATAAGGCTGCCAGATTCCTTCCCGGTCTCATTTAACCAACCTCTCTATGTTGATGACTATGAGAGAGGTGGGAGTGAGATTTTTCAAAGTCTACCACCTTATCTTGTTTGCACTGTTGATTCCTGTGAATGAATTACCTAAAAAAAAAAAAAAAAAAAAAAAGTGAGGGGGGGAGATTACCAGTACTGTTTTCCTCCAGTTTTGAATTTTCCTGTGACACGGAGGAGTTAAATGACTTCACAGCACATCTGCAAGAGCTGTGTCAGTTTCCAGTGTGTTCTCAGTACTTAGTAAATCAGAGGCCTTTTGAGGAATCCATTCTTGTGCCTACATATATCACAGTGAATGCAGAATGAAAAGAGAAAGTTGAAGGATAGGTACAACACGCCCATCTTCTGTTACAGACGTTGTGGGATTTATATTAATTTAAGTAATTTTGGTAATGAGTATGATGGAAATGTTTGCCGACTTTCAGGKAGCAATTGTGAACACTCTCCTAGATACTTTTTTTGGTGTGTATTAGTTGAGATATTGATAGTATATCAAATGGTTTCGGTTCAAAAGAGGAACTTCCTATTGCATTGCCAAACTACTATATGATACTAAAATGAACAATGGAAAATTTGATTTAAGAAGAAAAAGATCTATATACTCAGAATTAAATCATGACTAAAAAGAGAAATATAAAAACTTACTTTGTTTTTCTTTGCTGGAAACATGCATAATTTTTAAGAGTAAAAAAGTATTTGCTTATATTATGTGATATRAAATATTTCACTATTTTTTAACATGCACCCCTATTTTTACATTGTAACATCACTGAATTCTGAGTGTGTCACCAGTCCACAATGTTTTGCAGTTAAAGTAGGGAACATGTTTTTCTTTCTTGGAGGAAAATGAAATAATCATGCATCTTCAAAAGAGAATATCAGATTTGATGAAATGAAATACATCAAAAGCATCTAGCAATCATAATTTTCTAATATTTTTCATCATAAATATTGTCTGGCTAAATCATATGAATAAGTAAAATAAAGCCATTGCAAATGTATGGTGATAGTATGCATTTCAGGGAAAGGAGTCACTTTAATTTAAAAATTTTGAAAATCCATTTGTATTGATTCTACCTCGCAGGGAGATTTGATGACTAGAAAAATTTGACTCAGATAAAAGGTGATTTTGATTTTCTTTATTTATTTTAACTTTTGCAGACTAGTGATGGTCTCCTCTCTTTCTTCCCCCATTTCTGCATACAAGAAACTGCGTGGACCATCATACAGCACAACGGCTCTGACTTAACAAGAGTCAGAAATACTGACCCAGAGAACCCACACACTGGGGTTTTTGAGTATGTGGCCAGCATGGAGCAACTCCAGGCCACCATTAACCGTGCGGAGCACTGCGAACAGGAGCTTGCTTACTACTGCAAGAAGTCACGGCTCGTGAATCAGGAAGGTGCGTAAACCGAGGCGTCTGCCATGTGCCCCTGTGCATATCCGTCCTTACTCAACCAGATCCTGAGGATTTTAATTCTACCCAGGTGTTGAGGGTCCACGTACTTAGCAATCATGTCACAGCCTGGAAGTCACACAGATGCTGTTGCCTGGAGAAAAGAGCAAGGTCAATTTACATTGAGCTTCCTTCAAAGCCTTGATTGCTTTCCAACTCTCCTCCTGGCCTTAATTGGATCATGTACAGACCAGGTTTCCTTCCAACACTCCAAAATGCACAGTGTTTATCCTCATAAAGGGAAGAGGCGCATCAGGCTTATTTTATCATGGAAAAGAGTGAGTACAAGTAGGACTTAGTTGCCCGAAAGTGACTCTTCTGCTGGGCTCCTTTTTCATGACTTGTTGACAGGTAGCCTGTGGGTGCAATTGAAAACTAGAAAAGAGTGGAGAAACTGTTGATTTGGGAGCGCAGATAGGAATCAGAAAGCCTACTTAACCCTKTGTTTCATTCTATCCAGAACCAGTCCTAGGAATTCTGTTTGGGTTTTATATTTTCTCTCTTTGGAATATCTCCTGATGTCAGGATAGCAGGTCCCCCACTTCTGCCTTGGGGTGGGTCCTGGTGACCTCATTCTTTGTGTGTGAGTACTTCCCCCCACCTCTCAGCTTGCCATCTCTCCACATTTTCCAACCACCCAGTGTACACCCAGTGTACCCAGTCTACCCTGTTAGCCTTCAGGAAGGAAATTCACCCTCAGGAAACTCTGTGTCTAGCACAACATTTCTCTTCCAGAAACTCTGCTGCTTTGTTGCTTGTCTGTCTGGTAATGACTTTTGCCTGGATCCGAGGTCTGTGTGTTCTGCCTGTGCGACCCTCATGCTACTCCTYGGTGCACTGTATTATAGCAGGGATATCAATCGGGTTTCTCTTAAGAAATGAGAGAGGATGCTAATATCTACACAATGAAACTCTCTTGGTCCATATTCTCCTAAGAGTGTTTCAGTTACAGACAGAACAATCAGAAGTTAAAACACGTGTTTTGTGTGATTATCTTCTGTCATTTGGATCATCTACAAAAATGTTAAGCTGTTGGTCTGACATTTGAACCTTTTATTTCCAATTAAGCTTCTCTCCTATTTGCTCTCCATCCATTTACTAAAAGGTGATTTTCTTGGCTATACCCCAGGTTCTTCTGGACCCCCAGTTCCTTTTTCAGAATGTCTTCATCCAACTTTTATCCCTCTAATACCAATTTGTGGTCCCAACTCAAATCTTATCTCTCTGCTGAAAATTCAGTCCCACCTGTAAGTGAGAATCAGACAGTTGTAGTGCAAAAAAAAAAAAAAAAATGGTAAGATTTACAGAGGAAAGAGAGCTCAATTCAGTTACCAGCTGTCTCATTTCCTAGATAGAGAACTTAGATGAATCTCTGATTCATCAAATGAATGAATGGATCAGAAAYGACTCTCTGTCTTTGCCTTCTCTTCTCTGAATTGGGGCTGGTAACTCCAAGCTCCTGTGGCTATGGTGCTGATGAGATGGGGTGATAAACACAGAGTGTGTGACAGGAGTCCTCTYGCTGTAGGCTGTCAGGGCATTGAGGTCACCATCGACAGACTCATTTTAATGTGTAACTCTTTGCTCATTGTGCTGAATGGTCATCTGATTTCACTTAGCACAGTGTTCCATGCACGTCCTTGTTACACATGGCAGGACTTCCCTCTTTTCTAGAGCAGAATGATCCTTCATTACGTGTGTATCATATTATCTGTATTATCTCTCAATGGGCACTTATGGTGTTTCCATGTCTTGGCAGTAGTGAATAATGCTGCCATAGTCATGGGGATCTCCTTGAGATGGTGGAGGACATAAAAGCCACACATAGAAAGACAAATATTGCATGATGTCATGTATATGTGGAATCTAAAAGGGTTGAATTCACAGAAACAGAGTAACAGGGTGGCTATGGGGACTGGAGGTGGGAGAGTGGGAAGATGTTGGTCAGAGTGCAAACTTACGGTTATAGATGACCCTGGAATTGTGTAGAATGGATTGAGGTTGAGAGACTGAAAAGGGAGAGAAAACTCAGATTCTGGGTTCCCAACAAGAAAGGCAAGGAGGAAACCCAGGAAGCAGTGTTATGTTTAGAGCCTCAGATCTCAGTGAATCAGTAGTTTCAAGATCCGATGAGGCCACACTGGGTATGAATGTAAAAATGTATTCTTAGCAGTGAGGATCGGTGTGGCTCAGCACACTGACAGGATGTCCYGGGGAGGACTCGGGTCATTTAGGATTTTAACCGTGGGAGGGAGAATGTTCCACCTTGATCATCAACATTATAATATTAATTTTTAATTTCTCAAGATTTAAAAGATTCATTTTCTTTTTATTTATTTTTTTGCTACCAGGGATTGAACCCAGGGGCACTTAAAGACTGAGTCACATCCCCAGCCCTTTTTTAAATTTTTCGTTCTGAGACAGGGTGTTGCTAAGTTGCTTAGGGCCTCGTTAAGTTGTTGAGGCTGACTTTGAACTTTTGATCCTCCTGCCTCAGCCTTCTAAGCCACGGGGATTATAATTATGCATCACTGTACCTAGCTAAAAACTTCATTCYTATCCTGATTTAAATTATTTAGTTCTCTTTAAGAAGCCTTGGGTGGAACCAAAGGTAATTGGTACCTTTAAGACTTTATTAATTTCTATTTTATAGGGAAAATTAGAAATTTAAGTGGGAAAATATGATTTAGCACTTAGGAATAATTATTTATTTTCTATCAAAGAACACAGTGTTTTAAGCAATATGTTAAAATATATCTAGTAAATGTCTCAAGTAGGCTTAACCTTTGACTAATGTTCAAATCATGCAAGTTTTTCTGGATAGTAATAACTTTGTGAATAACATAAGCTTTTTTTTTTTTTTTTTTTTTGGCTTGGGTTTTTAATCTGGTGGAACCAGCATGTGTAGTAACCCTGTGGGGCAGGTCATCAGCATCAGCAGAGGGGCCACCTAGTAGTAAGTTAAAATGAGCACTGGCATTTGTTAGTAAGAGAGGAATTAGTAAAAGTCCTGGATTCCCATTGGGATGGATGGTGATGACTTAAAGCTCTGAAAGTCAACAGAAAAATGATCACCTGCCTCTGAGGAGCTGACAAATYAGATGTTGCTTACATTTTCCTCATGCCCCGATTCTCAAATGACTATGATTTTTCCTCTGAACTTCTTTTCCTTCCCCCAAGATGGACTGCCTGCATGCCTCACTTCCCTGTCTACAAATCCCTGCTTAAATGTTCTGTCTATTCTTTGCTTGAGCTCCTTGGCATCATGTTTAGTCTTAACTCAGAAGGAGCTGGTAGCTGAACATTTATCATAGAAAGAGATGCGTTTGGCTAAGGGAAACTTTGGGGTTTTTTTTTAGTGTAATATTTGCTTCAGGCCTGGAGATCTTTCTTTGTTATTTTTGTAGTCTCCAAATAAATAGCCAAGTYATTAAATGGAAGAGAAAATATGGACTTTCAAACAAATCTTAAATCATGGAGAGGGAGTGCCATACCATGCCTAATATTTAATAAACAGCTAGTCTGTTTTTAGCCAATAAATGTATTGAGATAAATCAGTGCCTTTACATAACATCCCATAATGTTTAATGGGCATTTCATGATTCCAAATCAAATTTGCTGTGTTACCTTAATTACTGCAGTTCATAATTTGGTGCGAACTTGCTTCCAAATTATTTTTAAAGAAATTGCATAGGTGAACTTCTCACAGTATTTTTTCATCTTCTTTTTTTTTTGCTATCATAGTTAAATTAAATATGAACCACTCATTTCTTTTCTACCCAAAGGAAAAAGAAATCTATCAATCATTTAAGGCTAATAATCATTTTTTAATAAATCTTCCTTAAGGAAATGCCATCCATGATAGTGTTTAAAACATCTTTATATCACATCAATCATTCTCTTTCTCCTTTTGTTCTTTTGAACAATTTAGGAAGAAAGAGAATTAAGCTGGGATGGAAGCAGATGTCATGGTTCTCACATTTGTCTTGCAGATGGAACCCCTCTGAGCTGGTGGGTTGGAAGAACTAATGAAACTCAAACTTACTGGGGAGGCTCTTCACCTGATCCTCAAAAATGTGCCTGTGGCTTGGAAGGGAGCTGTACTGATGCCCACTATTTCTGCAATTGTGATGCTGACCGCAGCGAATGGTGATTTTCATGATTCCTGTACTCAAGATAAAATGAATTTGTTAAATTAATTACTCAAAGTATGTAGAGCCAGAAAGGTACTGAACAAGTTAGTACAACGACTAAATTAGTTAAAGGTTTGTTTAAGTGAAAATGTGGTACGATCAATCTAATCCTAAATGTTCAAAGCTTTTAAACTTATTTTTGCAATGGACTGTTACGTGAGTCAAGTTACCATTCTCTTTAAAACTATGTGTAAATAGACATTCCATTATTTTCAAAATATATTTTCAGCCAATTACCAAAGCATGTTTCCTATAAACTTTAAACATATAATCGAAGAGTCTCTCACAATTATCTTATATCTTAACACCTGGTTCTTGAATGAAGTGTAAATCAAACATCCACAATTTATTGTGAAAAGGTTGTGATTTAACTAACTGTCTAAACAATCACAAATTCCATAATAACAAATCCAGGATTTTTATATCATCTACAATATCCAGGATATTATAAACGAATGTTCCAAGGAAGAATAAACTTTGATCTGAAGTCAAGAAATTAAAAGAAGGTATTATAAACAAACTTTGGGACATGATGTTAAAATTTTCAGACAATACTTTAAAGTAATTGTTATAAACATGTTTGAAGACTTCAAGGTAAAGATAATCCCAGTGATTGAAGAGGGAATTTTAATAAATGAGATTTAAATAAATGAGAAATATATTAAAGAACAAAATTTAAATTTTAAAATAGCAAAGTACAGCATCTGAAAGGAAAAATTCTAACAAAGCTTCTGTAGGCTGAAGAGAAATAACATTGGACGAACATTCAGATCTTCAGGAAGAAATAAAGAGCACTGGAAATTATAGTGGTGAATATAAAATCTGATGTTTAAATTCTTAATATAAAACTAAAATTCACTGTTTAATTGTTCTATAAAGTTTATAACATGGATTTAAAATATACTGCAGCAATAGCAGAAAGAATAAGAGTGTGTGTGGTGTGTGTGTRTTTGTGTGTGTGCACACTCTCRCATGTATGCTCTTATGAGTGGAGGGGTGTGAAATAAATTATCCCCCAGCAAGCTTCTGACATTTTATATTGTTATACAGTATAAAATGTGAGTAGACTGTGATAAATTAAGGATGCATTTTCTAATTCATAAAGCAAACATTAAAATACAATAGAGTTTTAGCTGAAAAGTAAAGAGTGAAAATAAAATTTGAATACAAAAAATACAGARTAGATCAAGATGAGGCAACCAAGGGGGAACAGAAGTATAAGAAATCATGAGAAAAATCAAAACAACAACAACAAAACAAATAATGAATTGCTAGACCTAAAACACACTCTGGATCGTTGTGCTAAATGTTAATGAATTAACCATTTTAGTCAGAAAGTAGAAAATGGCCCAGTGAATTAAAAAAAGTAATTACATTGTAATTTTAACATATGCTATATTTTATGTTCTGTATTTTAATATGTGCAAGAGACATTAAAACATTACCATGTTTCTTATGTGCCCAGATATGCGGTTGTATTTATTCTTTTGTAAATGTGCAATTTCAGCTCAGAGCATCTTGGCTTTAAAACGCAATGAGGATCATTGCTTATTTTAGAATTACATTAATTAGAGTAATTTTAAGAATTTTATGGTTGCAACTGTGTTTTCAGGACCAATGACACAGGATTCCTTTCATATAAAGAACATCTGCCGGTAACTAAGATTGTCATCACAGACACAGGCCGGCCGCATTCCGAAGCCGCTTATCAGCTGGGACCTCTGCTCTGCCAGGGAGACAGTAAGTGGTCACAGCGTGTTGTGAACATAGTCGAGGGAAGTGTCATGTGTCTGACATATAATAATTGCTCAGAAGTTATTTCATATGTTCCATCATGAAAACTCTCGAATAAGGTCAGAAATGTTCTTTGAGTCAACAAATCAATGAAGTGCAAAGTGATGGGAACTCTGGCAGGTTTCTGAGAGAAAGTAACCATTGGGATTGTCAATTTGGTTCCTAAATGCCTTCCAGAATTATTGCTGCATCACTGTCCGCAGAGGAAAGCCTCCATGCTATACGACCTTGTGAAGAATTCATGTGAGTTTCCTTCTGGTAAACACAGGGTGAACATCAGAACATCAGTAGGCTCAAATGTTAGTTTGATCCAACATATTTCAGCTTTTAATTTCTATTTTTTTTCAATGTGTGTGTGTGTGTGTGTTGACTTTCAATCCATGGTAGCTTCTATTTTGTATATTCAGTAGTAATGTCCTAAACCAAAAATTTTAAATTCAAAATTCGAACACAGTTTGTAGTTCACCCACTCATGAACACGGATATACATTTTTAGCAGGGAATGAAACGAACATATGTATCCATTCATAATGAAATGCTCTGAAATCAGTTCACTTAGAGGAGGATGCATTCATTAAGTATGCTTCTAGTGTTTCCAGAACTGAAAATGGAAATAGAAGAAATATTTGTTTACTTTGAAAGCATACCCTAAAATAAAATTTTATTCAACAGAAGAGAGATCTGACAACTCAGTAGATGTAGGGAGATACATAGCAGAAGTTGCTTAGTTAAAAAGCAAAGATGATTCTGGCCTATAAAAATTATATATACATTGTATAAAACTGCCTGCCATTATCCTCACCACCTCTGATGTGCATCATCTCTAATTCCTATCCTGCCACAGTCCCACAGTCACATGAAGATGACATAAGATATTTCATGGAGAGAAAAATTATGTGCAAAGTGATGGGCTTGTAAACTTAGTATGCACCCAGGGGATCTGTAACCATTTTTCATGGCTGTAGGAAGTTGTTCTTTACATCATGTGCACCTTTCATTCTGTGTTCTGATCTTAACACTGCAGCAACCCAGCCTGGCTCCCTCTCTCTTCCCTATTTCATTTGCCACAATCCCTGGGAATCAGTCTGCTTTAGACTGAGGTCACTAGCACTTTTATCCCTTCGAGGTTTTTACCCCCCAAATTCCTGCTGTTAAACTTAAGCAGGTAACATCTTTTTCTTGGGCAGTGTTTCTCCACCCAAGGCAATCTTACCTCTGGGTGAAGCTCAGCAATGTCTGGGGTCATTCTGGGTTGCCTCATTTGTTGGGGGTGGGCTGCTATTGGCATTTCAGGGGGAGAGGCCAGGAAAGCTGCTAGACATCCTACCATGCTTGATACAGCCCTCCGTAAAAAGAATGATGTGGTCTGAACTGTCAATCATGCTACAGTTGAGAAACTGGAGCATTGGGCTGTTCTGATGATGGGGATAGGAAGGAGGGTGACAACATTAGTGATAAGAATTTACACACAGTTTCAAGTATTTAGAGGCCTGTCAGTTAGTCTCTCACTTACTAGTGGAACTGATAATGAGCAACTGGCCCCCTACATTTATTTTTTGGTTTGAGGCTCATTTTCCCATGATGATGTATATATAATTTTTTTTTTACAAGAGGGGCTTTTAATAATTTTCTCAGCCAGAAAAGCCAGAAAAGCAAATACCCCTTTTATCTATGTGTGATATCTGCGCCTCTTGAGGCACAATGCCCTGGGCACACTATTTTTCGTTCCAGATGTGGGACTTACAGGTTCCTGTAGTAGGCCTGACAAGCAGGTGTGCGAACATTACCCTGAAGGTGATATCAGAACTGGACATTGGATAATTTAAACCTGAAAACTAGTTTAATTCACATGATTTAATTGAATGCACGAAGATACAAACCTTGAAGACCAATAAAGTAAACTTTGAGGTTACCAAGGAGAAATGCTAGAGGCTTGAACTAGCACAGGCTGGCAGGGAGCCAAAAGAAGGTGGTCAAATCCAGTATGATACAGACGGAAAGTTGGGAATTGAAGGTTTGAGGATGACTTCCCGCTTCTGATGTGAATAAACCATTACTGTCATTCACTGAGACAAGAGATTTTAAAGTTTTCTTTAAATAGAAAGCCAACTTTTAGAATAAAAGAAAATACTTCTCTCATTTTGCCAGCAAACTAGAGATGATGGAAATTTTATGTCTACTCGTATTTTTCTAGGGAAGGGTTTGGGGGAGAAAAGACAGATAAATAAAAAAATGAGTCTGAGACCTACTTGCACCAGATATGAGCTTACCCCTAATTGGCTGATGCCAATTTTTCCCAAATTCTTTTTATTTTGCTTTTAACATGGGTGGGTCCAAAATTCTGTGTGACTACTGCTGTTTTTGTTGATGTTAGAAGTCATAGATAAAAATTGTGAGGTACTTTTCTCAAAAGTAGGATGGATAGGAATGATAAGGCCTTTTAAAGTTTGTGGCTGTAGATAGCAATACTTAGTAAATATCATCATGAATAAAAAAAATAATTCTTTTCAGTAGATATATGAAATGTAACAGAATTCACTATTCTATGTATGATAAAAACCAAGAAAACTAAGAACTAAAGAGAAAACCTCACTGCTGTGTGGGGCATCTGTGAAAATCCCCTCTCTGATGTCAGACTGAATGATCAGAGACTGAAATGCCTTTCCCTAAGATCAGGATCAAGATGAGAAGGTCTGTTCTCACCACTCCTGTTTAAGATACCATTGGTGATCAAGAAAGAAATCAAGAAAGAAAACCCAAAACCTATAGACCAAAAAGGAAGAAAGAAAATACTTCTGATTCTAGATTACATGATTTTCCAGGTAGAAAAATCCCAAAGAATTTCTTAATTTAAAATAAGTTTAGCAAAGTCCCAGGATTTAAGGTCAATATGCAAAAACAATATTTCTATGTGCTAATAAAAAAAATTAAATGAAATTTTAAAAGGAACTTTTACAGCAGTGTCAACAATATGAATTTTTTTTTGATACAAGAAATTGGCCTGCTTTTTCCAAAATGTATTTGGAAAAGCAAAGGGACTAAGATAGCTAAAGTATTTTGAAAACGGAAAACAAAGGTTGAGACATCATTGCTTGATTTTAAGGCTTTTTATATCACTACAATATTCAAAATAATATGGTATTGACATCAAGATGGACAAAGAGATTCATGGCATAGAATGGAGAGCCCAGAATAGACCTATACAGCACAGTCTGTGTGTTTTCTGACAGAGCTACTAAGGCAGTTCTTTTCAAGATGCAGTACTGGAACAATCAGAATTCACTTTTGAAAAAGAATACAGAGAAGAAGAAGGAAAAGAATCTCAATTCGTACTTCAAAGTGTACCCAAAAAATCAACTCAAGCTTCACCATGGACTTAAATACAAAACCACAAACTATAAAAGTTCTATAAGCAAACATAGGAGAAAATCTGAGTGACCTTGAGTTAGGCATTGAGTTTTTAGATACACCACTAAAAGTACAATCCATAAAATCAAATAAAAAAAAAAAACTCATGGGTTTCACAGAAATCCAAAGCTTCTACTTTTAAAATGATACTGTCAAGAAAATGAAAAAACAAAACAAAAAAAAAACAAAACAGACTGGGAAAAAATATTTGCAAGGTGCATTCCTTATAAAGAATGGTATCTGAAATATAATAAGAACACTACAGTGCAATAACAAAAAAAATCAAATTAACAAATGGGCAAGAGATTTCATTATACTACTCATAACAGAGGAAATATGTGGATTTCAAATAAGCACATGCAAAAATCCAGAACATCATTAGTCATTAGTAGACTGCAAAATTATACCGCATTGAAATACAATATATAATTTTAAGGATGGCTAAAAGTAAAGTAATAATAATAATAAAAAACTGATTATGAACACCAAGTTCTAGTGAAGATACAGTCACTGGAACCCTCCTGCATGGGGGCTGTGACTGTAACAGGGTACCCTTCTTTGAAAACAGTCAGGCAGTTTCTTCTATTGTTTAACACATACAAGGAACCATGACTCAGAAATCCCATTCTTAGAATTTTATCCAAGAGAAATGAAAAGTCTGTGTGCAAAGGCTTATATTGGCTTTATTCAGAGTCTCCCAAAGCTAGAAACCACCCATATGTGCATAAGCTAGTGATGGGTGTACATTCCATTTTTCTTTGGTGTGTGCCTGATACACTGTGGAATTGTACTCAACCACAGAAAGCAATGGTTGTTTGGTGCGCGTGGCCACAAGGGGGACCGTCAATTGCATATGGTAGGCGAGAGGACCTGGCCTCAGAGCACCCTTCTGTGATCCCATATCTAAGATATTATGGAAAAGTCAAAACGATGGGAACACAAAAAGGTCCCTTTTGCAAGGGCTTCCAGGTGAGAATAACTTTACCAGAAGGCACAAGGGAACTTTCATCAGGTGAAGGAAGGAAATGTTTTATCTGTTGAGTGTGGTAGTGGTTTTGTAGCTTTCTACATTTGTCAGGATTCCTAGAGCTCTATACCAAAAGGTTCAGTTTTCCTCTGTACAAAAAGACTTTAAAAAAAAAAAAAAGCCCAACCCCCAAACCAAGCGGTAGTATGAATAGTCATGGTTGCTTAATTTTAAAAACTGGGTCATTAAAAAGTCACCAGGAGTAAATTCCTAAAACCATAAAGGATTTATCAATGTGGTCACTCTCTAATTCTCCAGGACTCTTCTAGAATCCTGCTGAAGGCGTTTCTAACTTGTATTAACTTTAAACACAAAAGAGTCAAAGAATCAAGGGAAAACTGAGTTTCCCAGTTGGCAGAAGGTGATGAGAAGCAGGGCTCCAGGTGCTTTTGTGTCTACTGGGTCTCCCAGGAATGGTGGGGGCATCTTTATTTTTGAGGTAACATCAAAAGTCTTCTGAATAAACAATCCTTCCCAGCATGCATTGAAACACCTGGAGAGCTTGTTATAA